TATTTATATAACCCTTTTGCTGATTTTTAAAGTGTTACATAAACAGGACAGGTGAAATATGTAAAGCAACCATAAACACATGAAAAGACCTAGGTTTACAATTTATAATTAAAACTCTACTATCTACACAATATAGATAGACATAAAATGTAAAAACTTAAATATCTTAGAAACAGTAGCCAATCAGTTGTTTTAATTGTCATATTTGAATTCAGCACATCAAAATACATAATAAATAGCACATTTTATCTCTGAAGCATACGACTTCTCAAAAATTGTAGACCAGTGTAATCAGAAGAAAGGAGTAAAAATCCCCAACATTTCCAAGAGGCCAGTTTGATACCCCTGAAGCTTTGTTAAAGAGTTAAAAAACAAAACAAAAGAGCTATCATTCACGTAGTAGACTAAAATCTCATTTTAGACAGGAAAGGGCAGGTTGTTCTAAAGGCCTGCAAATCAGACACACTGCTGTATAGAGAAAAGCTTTCCTGGCAACGTGTACGTTTTGGGCAAACAAAGTAGATTGGCCCATGTTGCTTCTACATAGTCTACTTTCACAAGCATCTAATATTATTTACTGAAGCTCAAAAAAAACCTTGCTTAAAAATAAAATCCAGTTTATAAAAGGAAGTGTTTTGGTTGAAGCTCTATGTTTAACGCTTCTAATTGCTGAGCAGAAAGAAGGCTCATCAAAAATCCTTTGCACAATGCTCTTTATTACATGCTTAATTTTTCTTCATATAATCAAATTTCCCCTATGAGGGGGTAGACCTATAGGTCTCAGGTTGAGCAGCGGGAACTCAGCATTTTATATGTTCTGGCCTCTCTGCAGGGAAATACATGATGAGTACCAGTGAGGGCTCTCTGTTGCTCCTTTCTCTCAGGCAAAATGCCCATTGAATTAAACAGGATTTTTTCATGAGTAAGAGAAGCAGGACTTGGCTCTGGGAGGATATTACACAATTGAATGTACTTGATTCCTGGTGCCAGTGTTCCATTGTGCTCTGTTATGGGAGAACATGAAGAACTGGAGCGCATTCTATCACTGCCTCTGGCTTACAGAGGATATTGTAATATCTTATTAGTGTAAACTAAAAAAAAGGAAGCTATTAGAATAAGGATTGGAGATTGTTGTCTGGTTTTTCAATAGTACAGAAAAATAAGTACATGCAGTCATTCTATATATGGGCTATTAATATTGTAGATTTACATTGTGCATTGTCTTTAATCCAAATGAAGAACAGGTAGATGACCTCTTTCTCAAAGGTGCTTACAGTTCTTACTGACTTCAGTGTGATTTGTGAGTGCTCTGCATGTCTGAAAATAACACCGGTAGAGCCCACGCTGCAAGTTGCTGAATGCGTCCTGGGATGTGTTGAGAGGATTAAACTTCCATTGAATTCACTGCAGCTAACAAACTCATATACAGAGTAGAATTTTCCAAGGCCTCCCCCAATTGTGGCCCCTGAATTAGCTCCCACAGACAGCATTTGTGCCTACAAAGAGATGATTTGCACATGCAAGGGCCATTTGCTTACACAAATTCTGGACCAAATCCCTATAGCCACTTTGTCTGAAGAGCCAGTTTGTCTGGCCTTCTGAGGTCACCCCAGTGTAAGTGGGAGCCTTTAGCAGCATAGAACCATGGTGCCTTCCACGGCTGCCAGATTAGGGGGTGTTGCTGGATGTGAGGTGCCCAAGACACCCCAAAATTTTGCTGATCCCTACCTCTAGTTTTGATCATGTAAAGCCAACAAGCATAGCATAGACCAACCCTGACACAGCAGTAATTTATACAGCCCTGAACACTATGGCCTGAGGATTGCAGATGTGCAAAGGGGATCTTTATGGCACACCAATAGGATACACACATCCACGTTTGACTTGTGCTGGGTTTTCTTCAGCTGTAGCTGAAAATCTGGCTCACTGATTTTTCTGGTTATAAATAATTTTGTTTGCAAGACTGCTGTCACAAACTTAGAATTTGCCTGAAAGAATACAAATGCGATAAACTGAAGGTTAAAGTAACTTACATATAGTGTATACATGATATATGTCTGTGTGCATACACATCTATAATGCTACAGTAAATTGAAATATAGCAACTACTTCATATGTAATAGATATACAGTAATACAAAAAAGTAACAAAAAATACCAAGTGCAAATGTTATTATTTAACAACAGTTTAACAGCTGGTGCTTTGAAAACACTACATTCAAGAGCTGCTGCCTTTTCTTCTATAAGATTATCAATGTATGTATAATGCACGACATGACCATTTATTTAACATATTCCTATTTCTGATGCTAGTTGTTATCTACATTTTAGTGATACTTATAGAGAAGAAGTGAAATGCATTAAGATATGTCTGTATATGGGTACTAATATAGACCCATAAATATATTTGGATAATTTGTTCATAGTTCCTTAATATCCAGTTGCCACTGAGAAAGAGAATAATTGATGTTTGATATGAATGACTGCTGTATTTGTGCCTAAACAGAAGAAATGCATCTGCCTTCAATGGAACTCTAATTTTAATGTTTCAGCCTGCAAGAAATGCACATTAATAGCAGCTTCTTCCCTGAGGAAGGTTTTGAACTGAAGTACTTGAGAAGAAACTTACAACAGAGCAGCCTAGAGTGCCACCCCGTCCCTTTTAATTAGCACACGTAAGTCCCCCTGCATCCAAGATATGATTGAGAATTTCTGCCATTTCATTTTAATATCAGCGTTCTATGCTGACGTTTGTCAGACTAAGCTAAAAAGCCACTTCTTTTTATGTTGTTCCCACATGCCGAGCAGACCTCTTACATTTTTGTTGGCTGCTAACGTACTAAGCGTTTTTTTGGCAGCATGCGGTTCTGGATCGAAGCCATTCATGCAACTCTTCCAGAGTAAGTATGGCCCAAAGGATTAGAGATCAATGGATTTAGTTATCTGGTGAAGTTCCCCTGCCTCTCTGGTGCCATTAAAAGGTTTTGCTATTGTAAAAGACACCCGAACTTTTCGTTTTAAAATACCCAGTTGAGTGTAGGTAAGAAGTTACTGCTGCTGGACGTGTGCAAGCTTTCTGCTTTACTTACACTCATGCCACTGAAATGTGAATTTATGCAAAACTCTGAAAATATTTTGTACTGGTTTAAAACAAAAATTATGTCTAGAGAAAAAAAAAACTCGGATGTATTTTTCTCTCACAGGGAAAATTGTCTTCTAATCAGTACAGGCTAAAATCCTGAGATGTGGGGCAAAGCTTGTGTAAAAAAGATTTGCTCTGTGGAAAATGCTCTGAAGCACCACAAGCCTGAAGAAAGGAATCCTTGATCCCAAGAGCTCCAAGGCATTCAAAGCCACAAACCGGGCCTCTAGCTAGCTCACCACAGGGTGTTGAGGGAGGGGTAGTGGACATTGCCCAGTACTCTCCATTACTTCTCTGGCATTTGTGCTTTCATGTTCTTTTCAAAGACACTGGCTATGGCCCCAAAATATCGGTGTCTTACCAACTCCCTCCATGGGGTAATGGGGACAGCTGCCGCAGCGGTTTTCTGTGCAGTGCATGTGTGGATGTTCGGGTGTCCTCAGGCAGCAGAAATGTGTCATATAGCCCTTCAAGATTTGGCCTATACAGTGTGTGAATATCTTGGCTCTCAAGGCTGTGGGACTAAGCAGTTTTTTGTTTTCGTTTTTTAACCATGAAACTTCCTGGGGGAAAAAATCCTATTGGGTTTAACATAGTGTGTGTTAAGGTCACCAGAATAAACCACTGCAGGCTTTTTCTTCTCAATGGACTCAGAATAGCCAGGTAAATATAAGTCAAGTTTGTGCTTGTCCCTGTGTGTAGAGTGGGGGAGGCCACATACAGCCTCTTCCTTCCCATTTTCTTACCCATGCAGGGGCCAGGTACAACTACAGTCTTTGTACTCATGTAGCCACAAATGCTACATGGGGCTAGTCACTCCAAATAGGGACAAGAGAGGAAGGAAGAGCATGGGGAAATCACCTGTCCCTTTCCTTTGTATTGGACAATGTGGCAGCCAGCTAGCTTCATAGAATGGCACATGTTGCACCTTAAGGTTGGATGTCCAGACAAAATAAGAACCATCCCAAATATCAGTCCAGATACTAACCTGGCTCAGTTTAGCCTTATTAACTTTATTATCTTTTAGAACCATTTCACCCTCAAGAATGCAATATGCACTGTACTGTGTCATTAAGTTCTTTGCCATAGACGTGACCAACACCCAACAAAATCACCCCTTACCACTGAAAAAAATTAACTCTAAAAACTCCCACATGCTTGATATTCAGCTTGACTCTGCAGTTTGCATACGTAATGATCCAAAGTGAAAGAGTATAAAAAGATGGAAAAAGGTTGAAACCACTTTTAAACAGAGTTTTAAAAGATCTGGAACTAGAAAAGAACAAGAGTTCTCAATACTTGGATTGACTTTGGTAAAAAGCCCTTTGCTGACTTTAGAGTTTTCTCACTTGTGTAAAAAGTCTTCTGTGCTGAATTGCAAACTATCCTGAAAAACTCTGTGGGCAAGCCAGACAAATAGAGACCATCATGCCACCCTGATCCCCAGGAAGCCCCAGAGTTTTCAGCTCTATAGAATGAATTCTAAGGGCATTCTTCATAAGGGTGGCCAAATAAGATAAGAACTAGTCCAAATACCAAAATAAACCCAACCCTTTGTTCATAAAGCTCAAGCTTCAGGGTCTCAGCTGGCCATTAGCAGAGGTCAGGAAGAGATGTTTCCCCCCCCCCCTCCAGTGTATTCTGAGAGGATTTTTTGTTTGTTTGTTTTATCTCCTTCTTCTGAAGCATCAGGGATGGCCATGGCTGGAAATGGCACATTGAGTGGGGTGGAACAAGGCTCGGAGGTAGAACTAAGCATTCTTTCTCAGGTGCTTGGCTGGCTGGTTCTTACTCACATGCTCAGGTCTAGCTGATGGCCATATGTGGAGTAGGGAAAGAAGTTTCCCCAGGTCAGATTGGCAGTGACCTTGTGGGGGGTTCGCTTTCCTCTGTGTGTGTGGATGTGAATAACTTGCCAGAATTATCTGGATATATCTCATTTAATTATTTCCCTGCCATTTGGGGGGCCTTGAGCACTGGTGCACCTCGGCCCCTCCTATTCTCTGTCAGTGGCACCCAATAGCCTATTCTTCTGTGGTCTGTGATATTTTGGTCTCATTTCTGTTGTTGAGTTTAGCGTGTGGGCATTGAGTGGTGTTGGTGGCCTGTGATATACAGGAGGACATATACATATACACATGATCTACTGGTCCCTTCTGGCCTTGAACTCTATGACTCTAACTAATATGAACACCCTTTAACTGATCTAAGCAAAGTCTGATTTGGCCATAACTCGATTTTCCAACTTTGTTAATATCCCAGCAAGCCTGGAAAGCTCTGCCATGCCTGTTTAGTCTTTAAAATCACACATGCTTTGGAGCATCCATTTAAACCAGCTGCAATTTTGGGTTCTCATCTAAACTGAACTTCCAAAAACTCCAAACTTTCGAGGTTTACCCTTCATCAATTCAGATTTGCTTTTTGTTCCTAACCCTACATGAAATATTGGCATTCTTTTTATTCATCTTCTCTCTCCCAGAGACGGTCATTCCTTCCAATCAGCTTTCTCTGAGGTTTGTAAATCTTAGCAGACATAAAAGATGCTGAAGTGATTACCCTGGCCGTTTCTGTTGCTGTTTTGAAACTAAAAGAAAACAGTTTAACTTCTTAAATTCTAAATTTATTACTGGAGATGAAGGTAAATGATGCAATTTCAATTGGGATCTCAAGCATTCCCAAAGCTCAAGGGTGCTTGGGTCTGCAATTTTACTTGTGCCTATTGTAGATATAGGAGATAGTCAGATAGATAGGAGCCAGCGAAAAAGTTCAGGTCGGTATCTGCATCCAGACATCCCCAGTTTCAGAAAGTTTAGATCTGGGTTTTCTGTTTGGGCCCATCTCTAATTTCTACCAATAATCTACAACAATGGGCCTATTGATTTTAGGAGATTTTTTTCACTAGTCCATCTGTCTATTGATGAATTGCAACTGAAAATCACTATAGGCTGGTGAGAAATGTTTAGCAGGATCACGTGGAAAAATTGTAACAATGCCAATGGGGTAACGAGGTGGAATCAATATGAGCCTTTTCTGTTCATTAATAATACTGAGCACGCTGGGCTTGATCTAAAATCCATTCAAGTCAATGAGAGGACTCCCATTGGATCAGGGCCTTATGTAGCACCGTCTATTTTCAAAGAGCTATAGAAACACTAAGGGTCCTATTGTTGCATTATGGACCACAGCTACCCTAGGAAAAAGGAAGGTTGGGTAGAGGTGTCACTGTACCAAGGAAAGTTCCCCAGAGGCATTGTACCTGTGAAGCATACAAGGATGATATAATGCTTTCAGTGGAGTGGCAGGAGCATAGACAAAGGTGGAGTGGCAGGAGCATGCGATACTCCCCTCTTTTTGGGGGAGTATTGCATGTGCTCTATTCCCATGTCAGCAAGTGTGGAAGGAAGCCGACCTACTGCCATTTCACCCCTTTGGAGTGTCTGGCGCTCAAACTCTACCTCTTCTTGTGCTCATAGAGTGTAAACGTGATTGTCACCATCTTAGCTGACACTCTGGGGACTGAACCAGGGACTTCCAGAGCTAAAGAGTTTAAGCTGCTAGAGCTTGAGCTAAAGAACCATGCCTTCTTAGTTGTGGCAATTCCTATCCTACATAGATCAGCACAAGGAAGAGGCGTACGTAACAAACACTCATCAATGGATTAATAAAGCACCAGGTCCGTGACTACCTCTTACCTGCCACAGATGTGCTAAGAGGAGGAGAGCATCTTACACTCCTTCCATCCATCTGTGCCCAGTTAGAACCTATCCTCAAAATACCCTGTGAGGTAGGTATTTATCATCCCAGTTTTACAGATTAAGAGACTGAGACACAACAAGTTTAAGAAATATGCCTGAGGCTATCATGTGAGTTAGTAGCAGAGCCAAACTTAAGCTTCCAGCTCCTTCCCTGGCTCCTGGTCCAGCCTTTTATCAGGCTATATCTCGCATTAGGGTAAAAAACCCACACCCTGTCTTACCTAATATACACCCATTGAAAATGTCTGCAGGTAAAGCTGACTATATCCATTTGTTTCTTTTATATTCAAGCTATGTGTGTGTGTGTGTGTGTGTATGTGTATGTGTATAGATAGATAGATGGATTTAGATATAAAATCCTCTTTCACATGCCCTCCTATTTAAGTGGTTTCCTTCTGCATGTGCATTTACAGAGTTCACAAACATATATATTATCTCATTTATTTTTTCCACTTGTATATTTCATCCTGTTGTTACTGCAGTGGTTTTAGAGCGCTAAATCATGCAAGGAGGCCTGAGAATCATGCAGCACTCACCTGGGCATCAGACAATGACGGAGAACAGCTGGCTGGTCCACTAGCAAACATTACCTGCTCCTGCAGCTCTTACTCCAATGGGAATGTTGCCTGAGTAAGGACTGCAGAATCAAGCTCACAGGCTGGTGGTGAAAAGTGAAGTTTTGGCCGGAGACAATTGTGTAACCTCAAAAATTGTGACCTACCAATCCCATTTGGTTTTATCCTTGTGTGAAAAACTTAATTAGATCCATTTCTAAGAACAGACAAAATATGATCTAACTGCAAAGGATTACATGAACGGGGCTTCTCTGGTTTTTTAATAAGCTACAACAACAGTTTTCTTTTTCTTTTGTTTTTCCCCCCTCTTCCTGACAGATGAATAGTATTTAATGTAAAATATCTATCAACATTTGTTTACAAAGACAAAAAACCTGGAAGCCAATGTCCGGAACTGTTTTCTCCTGGGTAAGTGACTCATACTGGTATTATTCTCGGTCCATGTTTATATGTTAATGCAATCATACCTATGTTCTTCCCCGCATTTCCCAGCATGTCTTCTTTCACTACTCTTCTTGTAGCACTCCCTAAAGGTTTACCTGTTAGCAGTCCACAGTGACTGATTTATACACCATAAAGACTCTGAAAGCATAAAGATATATCATACATAGCACTACCTCAGTTTAGAACAGGGACACACACAAATTAATTCCCATGATATTTATGGGAATTTAAACATAGAGGGGCAGAGAATTAAAAACAGGGATGTTCCTTAGCAGGCAGGGAAACTGCTGGCAAATATGCACCCTTGGATGAAAACACACCAGGAAAGTGTTTGGAGCCTAGACCTAGTCGACACAGGCCAAGTCCTTCATTCTGGTGCTAAGCTACATGTACCAGTCCAAGCTGTGGCAGTGCGTGACTCAGCCAGACCTCACACAGCTGAACCAAGCTGGAAGCCTCTGCCTATGAATTCCTGGTTTAGTCTTCACTTTCTATGCCTGGTTTCTATTAGTTCTGTGGGTTTTCAGGCTTTTATGGCAGTTCTTTGACTGAAAATTATTGCTGCCCAAGACAGCCCGACTGCCAACAAGGTTGCAAACACAGAAGATCTTTCTCAATAATTCTGTGGGGCATGAAAGGTTGGTTCTTTTCAAACTCTTCATTAAATGTCAATTTGTGAAAGCTGAAACATTGATTTCCATACACTTCTCTCTCTTTCTCTCACACACTCTTTAAAGCTAACAGTAAGAATTCAGGCAAAGGGAGACTGAGGCAAATATCTTTTACGTATACGTCTGCTGAAGCCAGGAGACTTGCTCCAATCACAATTTGGGGCTTCTGTTTATTTTTTCATTCTGGTTTACTTAATTTCATGCTATTTAAAATTATATTTAATTGCAGCAGTTCTCTCTTTGGTTTGCAGTCTCACTTCTTTCCCAGCATGTTACTGAAGACACTGGAAAAAAGAGAAGGGCTGAATCAGTTTGGAAAACTGTGGATTCTTCTGAACACTTGGACACTGCTAGCTTCCCATGTGTGGGAGGAATATTTTACTGCCCATCAACCCACTGCTTGAACAATTTAATCAGGTTGTTAAAACAATTTAACCCTGGAGAAGATTAGCTCAGAAGAAGATACCTTTTCTGCCTCAAAAGCTACACCCATTGTCCCATGATCTCTCTCTCTCAGTCTCATAGACAAAGGTGTAATAAAATGGATCCTTGCCCACGTGAAAGAGCCTCCAGGGCATAGGAGCAATTGCCCAAAACCACCCTTGAGACTGCCAAGATATGAATTTAGAGCAACTCCCTTCACTCCTACTGGTTTCAAAAGTACCAACAAAAGCTCATGGTCAGTGGTATCAAAGGTTGCTGACAACTCTGTTAAAATTAGTATGGATTCTCTATTTTCATCCATTCATTAGCCAATGCAGTTTCTACCCCAAACTCATGTCTAAAGTCCAAATGACTGGAATTGATCCAAATGGCTGTTAGCAATGGTTGGAAGTCACATGACTGAGGATGTGGCAAGAGGGAGTCTTTTGTTAGTGGATGATGACAAACTAAAGTACCCATGCTACACATAGATATTTGAGAGGACAGGCAGAGCAGAGCATAGTTCTAGTGCCCAGGAACTCCGACATTCTAATCCCAGCTCTGATGCTTACTCCTCCCTTAGTAGCCTTACAAAGCTCTTCTGCCTCAGTTTCCCCATCTCCAAAATGGGGATAATACAAATTATGGTACATCACATAAGGTTTCTCAAGTGCTTTGAAAATGAAAATGCAATGAATTATTATTATTTACTTTGTGGTTTTCTGAACTCTTTTGGTCCACCCCCTAACTCTGATGTGTGTTACTAAAAGCCCAATTGACCCATTTACACTCGAAAGCTGGAGGCTCTAAGGCTTGGCCTATATAAGGCATATATTTAATGCTGGGTGAATATTTTGAAAGAATGCTTACAGATATTCACTGACATTCTTCAGTGCAATCTCTTTGGCTATGCTCATACCCACTCTTGTGTTCAGATTCTGCAAACATTCACGCATCTGAGCTTTACTAGCATGAATGTGGGAAATGAATTTCAAAGTCATGTGCATCTATTTGCATGCATGAGTATGCATGACTAGGAAATGCTTGCCTGCTCATTGAGAAACAATACCAGGTGACTTATCTAAGCAATCATAACAAAGTCATACATCTTGAATCCTTAATTGTGACTTTGGGGAAAATTGTTTATAATCAATCCAGAGAGAGCTAAAGAATGTTTACCTTCTTCATTTTGGCCTTGATTCAGCAAGGTATTTAGGCTCAGACGTAACTTTGAACATGTGATTGTTTCCATTGAGTTCAGTGGGATCACTGACATGCTGCAAACTGTGCATGTGCTTGCTTGTTGTACATAGTGCATTTTCTGAAGATCTTATACTCTAAGAAAGCAGCTATATAATAGGCAGGAGAAAGTGGGAAGCCCATAGTAAGGGATAATTACAGTGCTTTAGCTGTATCTTGGACTCAATTCTTGTTGGCAAAAGGAAAGAAAAAGAGTCTGAAGAAAGGATTTGAGTGAGAAGAGACTAGTGGCTTCATGGGTAGGACATAGGAGGCCCTTCCATGCATGGAGCTGGGGGCTTGTCAAAGGATGCAGTTGTGGAAGAGTGGATGAACAAGGCATTGAGGCTGGCATTACTGGAGAAGTGGAGGGCATGAGGGGGGATGTGATAAGAAGTCTGAGATGAATAATTTTTAATAACAAAAATCTTTGTGAAAATTTAGTTTTGCGCGTTGATATTTCATGAGTCAAAAAAGAGAATAAGTTCATTGGATGATTTATTTGTTGCAAATGAGTTGCTCCACTCTCTACAAAATGATCTGATACACTGCAGAAATGCAGATTGCATCTATTTTACCTTCATGTAGTTTTGAGGATACATGCAAAAATGACTTTGCTTAATGCTATATTCATGTGTCCTATGGGAAAAAAAATCTATTTTTTGTCCTTTTTTGCATCTGTACGTTTATTAAACATCCAGAGAAAAGGTGTTGAACTATGAAGAGATCCCCAAAAGCAAAGCAAGCTGAGTTTGAATGTGCTTGTGAGTTTGTTTACAAACCCATGACAATGAACAAGCCTTAAAAATGATGCAGTTGGGTGAGACTACAAAGTTTTTAGAAAGTTCTTTGAACACATGTAAACATGATGTGCGTAGGCAAATGTTTAACTTGCCTTTTTTTTTTTTACTTCCACAAATTATATTATGAAATCAGATGTTTGTGACTTCTTAGGAATGTCAAATCAATGTATTCCTTCCAAAGAGATAATTGCAGGGAACTGCTCTGCCTCTCAGCTTCTATAGTTTTGATTGTTCCATTTTCAGACTGAAAATGATCAGACGCTTCAGTTGTTTTAGCAGGTCATTTGCATAATACAGGTAGTTTTGGAAACATCACCTGCAGTCCCAAACATAGTGTGTTAGACAGTGCACTCTGAGAAAAGAAAGATGCAAACACATTGAGTTTATGCAGCTAGAGGACACAGACAAGTCTATTGCTTTCATTCCCTGCCCTTTGATCACAGGGCCCTATGTTTTAATCCATCCCAGGCAGAATCATAGAAAGTGTATTTGATCTGATAGCTGTATCAGCGCTACTTTAATACTCTTCTCTCTGAGACCCAGGATTGCAGCATCTAGATTTAAAATGTCCTTCTGGTGCCAACAGAGATTGAATTTGCCAGATTAGGATTTATGAGTACTGCTAACATGAAGCAGAGGTCATCTGATATGGTCATTGCTATATTATTCCTATGAGAGTGCATGATAGTAGTTTGGAAGCAGAGATATGTAAGATAGAGTGTATGCATCAGTATCACACAAACAATTAGGAACTTATTATGAGACAGTTTCTATTAACGTCATATTAGGGCCAGCAACCTAAGTGATACAAAGTCAATGGAACCATTAGAATATGTGCCATACTGTACAAACTCCTTCTGAAACTCACGCAACATTGCAGGGCTATCCATATGATACCCTAAGGGTCTATTCTCCCTTTGATTCATATGCATAAATCTCATTAATGTTAATAGCAGTTACACGTGACTAGTTAAGGGAGAATAGACCCTCTGTTTAATATGAAAGCATGCTCTCAGATGATTCCACAGGAGCTTTGGGATCCAATACAATGTCAAAGAAGCTAGTACAAATCCATGCACTAGTGTTCAAATGGCCAATGAAGTCAAAGGGATATTGTGTACTATACATACTGTATGTAAGAAATGTACTGCTCTAAGAAATGTAATGTCCACTTTAAGAATATAGATCTATCAAGGACACTTTTATACAGCCCACTGCCTTGTGATAGTATCTGACTAGCTCACATTTTTAAATGTATTTATACCCACAACACTCTGTGAGGCAGGGAATTCTATTATCCCCATTCTGTAGATGGGGAACTGACTCACTGAGAGACAAAGTGACTTGCCCGAGGTCACAGAGGACTATTTGGCAGAGCAGAGAATTGAACCCACATATCCTAAGTTCTAACCCAGTTTGCTAGTCACTGGAATAACTGTATTTGCCTGTCTCCTTAAAAGTCCATGTCTGTTGAAGAAAGGGTGTTCATTTTACAGGAACTCAGTGTTATTCAATGGAATTTGCCATGTAGGACAGGATATTCTCTGTAGGCTTAATGCAGCATTAAAGATTGAAGACAATTTTAAGTATTTTTTAAAATACTTGGTATTTCATATAACTGTTGTGAAACAATGCTTGAAAATTTTGACTTAAGGACTATGGATGGGATTTTCAGAAGTGCTTAGCACTGGGCAAACTGCTCCAATTAAAATCAGTGGTAAAACTCCCATTGACTTCAACAGGGGGCAGAGTTAGGCCAATGCTGAGAACTTTTGAAAATCCCCTAAATGTGCAAGGTATTTGGGCCATACATTGAGCTTTTGCATTACATTTTGCATTGCATTACATTTTGCAGTAAAAGAGGAGTGAACTCACCATCCGATTTCAAAGGAGATCAAATTCAACATGTCAGGATCCATTCCTGCCAATAGGGATGGTGGAAAAGGTGTGGCCTGACAGATGCAACCAAAAGGAATTTTCAAAAGGCAGTAACTAGGAGTCAGTGGGTACTGCATCCCCAAAACTTTGTGCCATAAATCACTACTGTTAACGTCAACACCAAAACAGCCATTTTGTGCTGAGTACTGTATCTTCATTACACACAGGACCTAGACACAAAGACCTAAGCTAGTTTTGAACTTACATGAGAGGTACTTTACTGTTAATCCTCTGTGCTATCCAACCCCATTTCTGGGGGCTTTCAGTTCACTGGAATATCTCCAGGAAGACCAATCTATGATCAATTATTCTTCCTCAGTCCAATCTCTGACTCACTCTGCTTCCTGAACTGCACCCAGAATGCAATGCTGCTTGTGAAGTGTGGAACAGTAATCAGCCTATGTATACTTTTGTTCTGAAGGTAAAATGTACCACCTATGGGCCAGATCCTCTTATTGTCAAATGTTATGCTTACTGCTGGGTGCAGTCATAATGGGATAGTAGTAAGCACTATATTGCTGGTGTTTGTGGGGTTGCTTCCTTCATCATTACAATAGCCATTAGAATCTCTAATGTGACTGTAGATACTATGTAAATTTTACCCTATTTTTACCTCTCTGCCACTTTTCTTTTGCACTCTGTCATTCAAATACGTATTTACACATCTATTAAAACACAGTCTATTTACCCGACAGACTGTAGTGACTGGGATGGAGAATTAATACTCTAGACACAAATGTTCCCACTGCAGTTAAAAAAAGAAAGCTGTGGTTTGTTGTTTCTCAATACTTAATGTCATCATATTCCTTGTGCCTGTATTAAAATCATATGCAAGACTAAAATCCCGCCGAACAAGAACAACTTGGAGAAGGAAGACAAAGGAATAGCTATGTGTGTGTGTTATGTATATTTTATGTATGTATGTGTATTCATCTGCATAGAATCATCTATAAAATGTGTGGTGTGCATTTATATACGTGTGTGTGTACATATAACTCTCTGCATATAACTATACGTGTATATATAAATATACACAGTGTATGCATGTGTGTATAATACATTTGATTAAAAAATAAAGCCTTCTATTCATTTCTGCCTTGATAAATGCATAAACGTACAGACAGTTTCTTGGCCACAACTACTGCATGCTTGACAGTTATGGTCACCTCATACCAGACCTCACCTAGACCTGGGGCAAAGACAAATCCAGTTTGATTGATTGGGATATTGTGTATTCATTCATTAGTCCAGGTTTTGGCAGACAAGACCTGGCAGGTATCTTCTTGTAAGCAGACGGCTTTCCTGGTGTGGTCTTGGCTTTTCTGGCAGCTTAGCTGTGAAATTTTATACACTTATGTGGTGGGGATTAAGGATATCAGGGCTCCAAGATTTCTCATATATTAGACAGCATATGCCGACTCAACCCTCCCTGCAGTGTTCTCTTTCCCCAAGAAAAAGGAGTTTACCTCGTTGTTGTTGGGTTTTTCTATAATGGGTGGGCCCTGGGCCTACTTATCAGTGTTTTGTTTTATGCAGAAAGCAGATGGAATAAGTAGTAACTTTAGTATAACGTTCATCCTCCAGTTGCTGCCAGCACAGCCCCCAAAAACCAAACTGGGTTTTAATCTTCTCTCCAGGGAGAGAGGTAAAGTGAAAAAGGGAACAGAAAAGATCACCAGAAACCAAACTAACATTTTCAGTGGTAATGCACTCTTGACAAGCCAATTATGTATAGGAAGTTTGGGTTCCCAGGCCTGGAGATACCTCACCTCTAATGTTGGTATTAAGCTGAAGAATTTTGGCTACTGAAGCAGACAGCAGAGGGAAAGTACTGCTCTTATGGACCTTTCCGATTTCTTTTTCATTCATCATTTTCCCTCTGTCATAAATCCACCACTTTGTTTTTAAACTCACGAAGAAAAATATAGAGCAGATCACATTAAAATAAGTGTGCCTGATCCTCATTTACACTAAGGCCACCTTATACCACTTTATAAATAAACAAAGCTAAACAGAAACCAAAGATCCATCTCTCCTTGTTCTCCACCAAGCACAGAATCTCTAATGATAGCAATGATGGTCTTTTATCTTCAGTGATTTTATAAACATTAATGTCTCATGTGCAAAGGAGCAATATAAGTCTTCCTCACTTTGTGAATGTACGAAGGGGGCAGACAAAACAACAGTATGGCATGCAAAGACTGCTACATATCTGTGCTGTTGCCAATGCTACAGTGTTCTGGGAGTTGGGGGCAGGGCCATGGCATTGATCAGCATAGCAGCTACATACACCACATGCTCTCCAAGGGTTGCACAGCAACTTGCCCTCCCAGAGCTCCCAGAAGCACAATGCCCCCAGGCGCTCCTCTGAACTCTCTGTTCAACAGACTGTGGCTTAATGCCACAATTGACCCCTAACTAATTAATCCTCACAACGCCCCTGTGCTGTAGGTATTATTAACCCTATTTTACAGATGGTGAAAAAGAAATAGAGAGATCAAGTGATTTGCCCAGAGCCACAGAGAAAGCCAGTATCTGAGCTGGGATTAGAATTGAGTAGCTCCTGATTCTCAGTTATTCAGGACACCTTTCCCTCAAACAGCTTTTTAATTTTGGATAGCTTTTGAATCTTGGATATTTTAAGTTCACCCCTTTTACAAGACTATGACAAATTTTTGTACAAAATATGCATTGTGAGGTATCATTTGAAAACGCATAATTTGCTGATCATTATTGTCCTGGTAAAATATGTGTGGCAATATTGTATGTGAAATTATAAGATTCTACTGAGACATGATTACTGAGACATGTTCCAAGTTTAGAAAAGCAGGCACAAACCAATTCCTCAGAGACAAAAGGCAAACTGACGCCTTACCCAGGTATCAAAAAAATCAAGTGGACTATCACCTGGTTAAGAGGCCATTCTTTGGCAGGAAAAAGGCTGTGAGTGAGAAATCTACAGTTTGGCAAAGAAACATCTGTAGGTTCCCGTCCCCCAGTGCTGGTTGTCTCCTCAGCTGGAGATGATTTTCAAAGAAAAGAGAACTATAAAAAAGGGGAAAACATACCCCGAAATATTCCTTCCTTACTCTTTACCCATGGCACCAACAACACCAGAAGGATAAGGAAATTAACATTGAACTGGGGGACAGGTCCTGAATGAAAGGATTTCAGCCAGAAAGACTACTAAAGCATGTGATGAGAGAAACCTCTGCTTTGAATTCATTTAGCTTGTTAAGTTAGATATTGTGTTTTACCTTTTATTTTCTTATAAGCAATTCTGAGTTTTATGCCTCATTTTTTGTAATCACTGAAAATCCATTTTTCTGTCATAAATAAACTTGTTTTATTGTTTTATTTATGTTTGTGTGTGTTTGGATGAAGTGTTTGGGAAACTCCATTTGAGAAAACAGGATTTGTGCTCAGCATTGTTTGTTAATAAAATGACAGAGGTTATATGAGCTTGTATTGTCCAGGAGAGGGCTGGGCAGTACCAGACACACATTTCTGGGGGAAGGTCTGGGACTGGGAATATCTTGGTGTTTCTCTGTAATGTAATTCAAGGATGGCTGGTTGTAACACTCTTGCAGTATAGCTGGGAATAATTTAGATGCTGGAGGCGGTGTGTGAGCAGGCCAGAAGTGGTTGTTCTCACAGCGAAGCAGTGTAAAAGGCACCCCAGGTTGGAGAACTAAGGGGACAAAGCTGTTCAACAGTCCAGCTTGTACCCTGGGGAATGTCATAAGAGCGCTCTGCTGTTTTAGTTTCATTCTGACCTGGTGCTTTTTTGCATTTCACTTTCTGTTGATATTTTCCATTCAGGTGGAAAACAAAGCTTTGGCAATCTGGACCAAGGAAACTTCACATAACTGGTGTTACTGACATCAGTAGAACTGAGAGACCATGATGGGATTCCCAAAGCATCGTGACCAAAAAGAGATTTTAACTTCCAACATCAAAACGCAATTCTGGATGCAGAGACCCTCAGGCCAGAAGGGACCACTATGATCATCTAGTCTGACCTCCTGACAACACAGGCCATCGGACTTCCCTGAATTAATTCCCGTTTGAACTGAAGCAATAGGAACTGGGTAGCTTTGCACAAATGAGATGCACTGTGGCATACACACTACCCCATTACATTCTCTCTGGGATTGTTTTCCTGTACAGAGGTTTGGGATTTTAAAGAAATCCACCCAGTTGTGAGGATATAGGGGTAAAGATGGAGAGGAATCTTTTTTAGAGAATGATAGTTCGCATTTTATTTTGACAAAAAGATATTTTTACAGGACTAGGAGTGCAGCGAGTTATTTTTAGGAAACAGCAGCATACACCAAATATTTGCCTGAGTGCTTTGTGTCATTATGAGGCCTCCTAAAGGGGTTCAGCATAAGCACAGGATGGTGCAGGACTCTGGGGATTAGGTGTAAAAAATATATGTGAATGATTATTTTGTTAGTAAAGCACAAATCAACAGACTTTTAATGAGCCCAGTACTTCTGGAGAAAAGTATGAGGAAGTTCAATGATTTTCCTCTAATAGACTTCACTGGAGGGCTCACCCTTGCAGAAGACTTTCTAAATTCAGAGTCTCATACAGTGTTCTTTTCTCTTTCAACAGACTAGAACACTTCAGCCCCGATTCAGCCCAGTCCTTCAGCACTTTGAATATGTGAGTAATCCCATTGTTTAAGAACTTTGCTTAATCGGGTTCTAGGAACTGAAGATGAAGAGAACAGTGAGAAAAAACAAAACAAAAAGATGATTGCCAAAAAGAAGGAAGACTACAAAGCAAGTCCAGCACTAGCATACAACTTTAAAACTGGTTGAAATTTTACATTAGCAACCTTTTTATTTCCTGAACAAAAAAAAATGTCCTTTGGGAGACGTTATTCATTTCTGAGTTGAACTTAAATCAGAAATCTCTCCATGGTCCAGGTACAATTGGTTTGTTCAAAACATTCTGCATCCTTAAGGCTTATCTTCTTGGGAAACAAGGGTGGGGAATGGGAACCTTTACTTGAAACTTCATGTGAAATTTTTAAAAGAACAAAATCTCTTTGCCTCTGTTCATATGTGCATTATATTTTCCACTATCACTTCTGTGCACAAATGACAGCATTTGCCTATGCAACCTACTTGCACAAGTCAAGGGCAAACTGAACAACAATGTGGTTTCTGTGTGTGAATCTAGAGGAGTATGTGACAATGCCCAACAAAAATCTATGGCAGAACTAATTATTCCAGGGAAAATCTGAATTTTAGAACAGTTTCAGCTTCCCAGGCTTTTGTTCCCAGACATAAGTTGGTAAATAATAGGTCTCCAATAATGTCACATGAGATGTTTTCAAAAATAAAATATGAGGAACCCTATGAAAAAGCTAACTAAAACAAAAAGTTCAGGGGAAAAAATGTTCATTAATTGTATACTAGTACAGAGGACCTGATTCAACAATATACTTAAGCACATGCCTAACTTTAAGCATGAGTATTTCCATTAAATTCAATATTCTTTGCTGAATAAGGGTGAATGTATTTCTACAATTTCATTTTTGAGGCAGCCTAAGAAGGAAACATATTGAAATTCACGTTTGTCTGCACACAAGGCTGTCATTAATTTCACATTGGAAGGCTACAGTGTATTTAATTAATATAAGATTATATTACCAAAGGTAAGAATGAAAATTATAGCCCTTCGTTTAACTTTCACATTCACACCTGACCACCACCACAGGGAATACTTAACTGCACATCACTTCACATGATATTCACAGATGCAGAAGATAAAACAAATATTTGATCAGATGAGTATGAAATGTGCTTACTAAAACATAGTTGCAAGATTTTGGGAACAACCAATGGACATTAAAAACACCAGTACAGAGTCTCTACCTTCTAATTTTACAGAGCACTCTAATCGAGTGGTTAGAGACAAATTAATTTGCACCAGTGTGTTGTGTAGAAAATTGTAATTGCCATAACTTTTAGGCAATTTAACAATTTTGCATTGGTAGCACCTGTGAGTAAAGCATGTTCTGTGTATATGCATACCAGGCTGACCAAAATCTGCCAGGGCAGTGGGGGGACAGGACAGGTCTGACTCCATTCTTAATATAAGACCAACTGTACTTCTTCTGTGAAGCTGTTAAATTAAATATGTGGTATTGTTTAAATCAAATGTGATTTATTGATTGCAGACTTAAGTCTTGTCTAAACACAAACTTGTAGTGGTTGAATTAAACTAGTTTAGTTAAACTGGTGCAAACCCCCATCTAGACACTCTTCAGATTTATTCAGTTTAGCTTAAACTGTTCTTAATAGACTTAATTTAATCCAAAATAAGCCTGGTTTAAACCAAAAATATGAGAGTCCACACACAGCCTTTTGCCCCTGTTTACCCAAATGGGTTTAAAATGCACATATATCTTAGATACAGGAGGGAATTTCAGAGACAGTCCAAAGAATGAAGATCCACCAGGTGTCTATAATTAATAGCAAGTACAGAGTATTGTGATTCTTACAGAAGGACAAACATTTTCCCCCTATAGAACACAAAATCAAATGAACAGTGATAGTGGTATTGAAATGTTAAAGAAATAATTTCAAAATGAGTGCAATAAAATGGGAATGGTAGATAGGGTTTGAGGGTAATAAATGAGTAAATTAAATATATAATGACTAAAAGCAAAATTAGGTGTAATTGGACTTCTTGTTGCCATATGTCTCCTTCTAACATCCACTTTTAGCAAAATTCCAGGCAATGATGAGTGGGAATGTGGGGATGCCAGTCCCTGACTTAGTTTCTTGTCTTCTCTATTGATATCATAGGACTCACAAGGCAGGGGAATCTGAAGTGAAAGCAGCAGGTGCCAGGCTGAGTATTTCCTACACTTCCACTCTTTACTGCTAGTGAGTAGAGCAACAACAGCACCGGATCAGGGAAGAAGATAGAGTCCTCTATGGACTTCCTATCCTCTGAAGGAAGATTTCGCCCTGTGCTAGCTCCCACTCCCCCAAGGAGTAGGGAAGAGAGATATAAAACATGTAATACACATTATGCATAAAGTCTGTCTGGAAGATCCTAAAATCTTCTAATATGAAGGAGATTACATCAGGTATTTCAAAATTCTCTGAGAGAGGACCCCCTGGCCTCCCTCATTACATCAATGTAGATTCTCTGTACTGATAGAAATTGGAATGAGAGCACTAAGAACATGCCCCTACATGGGCATGCAAGTGTCTGCCTAAAGGAATCCTTGGAGACATGATCCACTTTCAGATACATTTTCTCACTTGTCTTCATTCTCTTCCCCTACCTGTGTCCCATCATTGCAAACTGCTGTAATGCGGCATCAATATGTGACGTCAAAACCAGTGATAAATAAAAGGATTGGTACACTTCCTCATCTATCTCCATTCACTTTAGCCACTAGTTTCAAGTACCTTATGTGAAATCCCAAGTGCTATCACTCCCATAGCCTTCAGGGGGAATTGAGGGGACTTTGAATCTTGCTCAATCAAGCCATAAAAGAGAAACAAGTGTATACATTGCTTCAAGCAGATTTGTGCCATAGAGCAGGATGATCTCTAGGCTGACCAGTGCTGTGATAAGATCTTTCCAAGCCATTGTAAAGCATAATCCAACCAGTTGGGTACTCCTGATAGTTATCATCAGAGTTATCTCATCTAGTTTTCATGGAATCTTTTCCA